GCATGTCTTGGCATGAAAGTTGATTCATTCTATTAAAGCAATACTAATGTTGTTTAATAACTGCTTTGCCCAAAGCTAAAATTTTTTCTAAAGTACTAATAAACCTAAACCACACCACTTAGAAGAAAAACGATGAGAAGGAAGAAGGAAGCATTTTATCCTTTTAGTAGAAATGAGAACTACTTTTACTGAAAGGATTTTGTCGAAAAAAGACTATGCGCAGTTCATTGCATATATTTGTTGTGTTTGGTCTTTTTAAAGATATTCAAACCTTAGCAGGAGTTGTCCCACGATATAATCTGTAGAGATGACGCACAGCACCAAGCAATGAAGATCCAGGGTGAGGATGAATGAGAAACACGTGAAAACAAGTTGAAGATTGTCCTGTAAATCAATCTTCTAGCAGTCTGCAACTACAAACAAATCACAAAAAAATGAGAATGAGAAGAATTACCTGCAGTTACTAGCAGCTGTCCACCATTACCAAAAGCAATGAAACCGATTGGTTCCGTATGGGCAACGAAATGTGCTGTAACTGCATCCGCGTATTCTGCATTCCGCAAGGAACCCTAAGATAATTCCACTGACCAGTTAACGAATAAGATTCGTTTACAGATTTTAAAGCTTTTATGATTGTAAAATTAGAAATTTTGTTATCCACGAAAACTTACATTAATAATATTGTCAACAGGAAATTTATTTACATCTACCACAGTTATGATTCCAGGTTGAGCCACTGAACTTAGCAATTCTTTGGATTGTTGAGATGCAGATAATGTTGAAACCACTGAATTACCAAACGAAGTCAATGTTTTCGTAAAGTTCTGTAAAAGCTTTTCTGTTGAAAAATTATGATTTGACTGGTAGACAGTAAATTCTTGTTCAGTTTTGAATAAGCAACTTCTAAGACGACAAAAGGGACTGCTGAAGTTGAATCATCTGAGAAAGAAGATTGATTATGAAGACTTTTCCCTTTATTTCTCATGTGTAAAACTACTCTTCTGATTCCCATAGTTCCAGTTTTTTATTTATGATCTTAAAACTGATTGTTTTATTTGTCGCTGTAAATGATAAAAACCACTAAAAATCTTTTGAAATATGCAAGAACACTAAACATATTGTGTGATTTGACATCTCAAACTATGCCATTCATAATGAATCAATCTTAATAACCATTTTATTTTGGTTTAACTTACCCTTGCTACACTTACTACGCTATAACTAGACGAATCTTGGAATATATCTTCACCACCCATTCCACCACAACTCTGATATTCTTGTTGCAACTGGAACAGTAACACATGAAATTTTCAAATATAGTAACGAACATTCCTTATATATATATATATATATATTGCTTGGATATAGGTTTCGTAATAAAATGAAATGAACACTTTTCACATTAGGACATTCTCTACTGCTCCAAACAGGAAATCAAATCATATTCTTTTCTAACTAAATAAAAACTTGAAAAGTTGATAGACAAACTTCTGCACTAGCAAAAGCTAAGAAGACATCCGAAATAGCAAACGGAGTACCACAGCCTTCATATATTTGAATATTATATATTGTGCGCTGCTCCCGCAGCGACATCATATCAAGGACCACAATGTGATCAACAAATGATACAACGAAAACCCTAAAAGATAAACTTGAAGATTGCTACTACCCAACTTCAAATTTTTAAATCCCACCCTAGAAAGAGAGGAAATTTTTTTGTTCAAACTCATTTTACATTATCCTCTTGCCTGCTGGGTTACACAGGCAACAGTAATCGTTTACGATAGCAGAGAAACTGTCAATACCAAATGAAGAACATATCAACTTCAAAAGAGTGAAATGTAGAAAATTACTTGGTAGAAGCTGCGAGCGATTGAATGGAATCTGCGAAATTGATTTTGTGTACAAACTGGGGACTCAAAAGTGAAAAAAAAGATAATGTACAACAGTGCCGATCTGGAACCGGTGTGTTTTCATCAACTAGTGCGAATAACGGACGAAAACCTTTAAACCTGAAATCTCATGTTTTCTTTCGTATCTTCACTTACACCTATAATTAAATCTTACATTTAAAAAGAAAGGAAATATATCCACCTATCATTATGAATGCCAAAGCTTGGTTCACAATCCATAGACAATAAAAGACCCGTTCGAAGTGGACCTTGTCGCTCTGATAAAATCTCTCTACAGTCACCATTTTCCTGAAAACTTTTTTTACTTATTTCCCATATATTTTTAACATAAAGTAATATTTCCTCTTCTCTTTCCTTCCGGAACTGCTTGATCATCCCACATATTTTATAAAAGTCCTCTGAAGAAAATATATTGAAGATGAAGCGGACCGAGTAAAACACAGACACATTCAAAGATTCACGATAGTCAACTATCAACGTTTTCACTAATGAAGTGATTAGTAAAACTGCCGATAACATTCAATATGTGTTAAAAATTACTATGTAAGAAATATGACTAACCATGCGTGCCCAAATTTGATATCCCCTAGCGAGACCAACGATTATCACATCAACCACGCGTTTTCGATCATTTACTGGAATGAATGTCCAATAAGTACAAATAATTTTATATCCTGTTAAAATTCAAAAACCACAGTTTTTAACGTCAGCGATAAGTTCAACATACGTATAACAAACCATTTGAACATTTTTGAATATTGACCCATTCAATTCGCTCTGGAACAGTTTGTGGATTTGTCGTCTGTGGAATAATATCATGAACAAGTTCAGCCACAGAACTCATCAGTGACGCCTCTCTGAAGAGCATACGACGCATTAGTAACTTATAAAAACCAAAAAATTTATTATATATAGGTTGATATTTGACCAATGTTTCTTTCTTAGATTCGAAATATTCGAGAGACAAAGGACAAGGAATAACCCACAATCTAAAATTCACTACAAAACTATGGTTATATCTCATAAGCATTTTTCAATTTATGATTCCAAATTACTTGAGAGCTCTATTTATATTAATTTTTTGAACGAAACATTTTTTGATAACAAAGTAATAATTCTGTTCTACCGAAAAAATTGAAACTGAATAGACCTGCTATAACTTACGGTACGCATTGTGGTTTCACGCATTGTCCTTTAGGCTGATGTAAAATTGGTTCCTCCTGAGATCTAGCGCATGGAAAGGTAGTAGCATATGGCATTACCGGTTTTACATTGCTTCCACGTGTGGAAGGCAACATTGGACGTGTTGACTTGGCACTTTCCTGTTCGCATTGATCCTGGGAACATTCATAACGGGGTTGTGGTTGTATCTGTAGAAATAATCAACATTAAAAAGATTTTGCAAAAAACCTCGCCATTTCTTAGTCATTTCTCTATTCTTAAAAACAAAGAAGCAGTAAGTAAATAAAGTAAACTTTCATTCAACAAAGTTCATAACGCGTCATGTCGTTTAAAAAATCTTAATTAAATTGTACAATTTCCACCAGAAGAACTTTTCCGCCTATGTTCATCGCTTTATAACATGTTTTATAACATGTCGTGTCGAAAAAATGTACAAATTAGAGATTTATATCTCTATTTGAATAAAAGAAGAATGCGTAGAAATGTGATGACACAAAAAAGAAGGCAAACCTGTTGTTCCTTGAGATATCGGCAAGGTTGTTTACGTGATGTACGTGGTAACGGTGCCGATGTCGACATCTAGAATAGACATTAAGTTAACAATAATGTCTTTGCAATGTTTGCTTACTAATTCGGCGCACGACCTCGAAACAAAAACTAGAAAGAAAACAAGATTAACAAAACGACAAGTGAAGATAAGAGTAATGAGTGCAAAAATTCCTTAATCAGTGACCTATCTCAAAACGAATTAAACCAATAATGTATAAACTAATGAAAAATGGTTAATTCATCAATATTTGATCTCAATTTCGAGAATTTATAAGTAGAAGGAGCAGGTCCTTGAAGAAATGTGACTGCATGTGTGGATATAAGGACAAACTAAGTAATCTAAGTGAATTACTTCTAACTTGATAAAGCAAAGCGACATTTTTTAGGCAATGACACGTTTACTAAATTTCCCATATGTTCAATACGAGGCCCCTATAATGTAAAAATCGGCAGTTTTAACATTTCAAGTTGCACCACTTCTATCAAAGAACAATCAAAAAAAAACGATACATGACATTGAATATGTATTTTTTTTAATGTTAAAAATCCCACGGTTTAGAAGTTTAATGTATCTTGTCTAATCAATTATAAAATTTCGATTGCAAAAACATTTCAGCAAGAATCATCATTAATGCAGCATAAATTCCATGGACCTGCTCCCGAAATCGCGATTAAGAGGGGAATCAACTTGCACACCTCACCTGGATCATCTCCACATTGATCAGGTCATTCAGCGCACCATATCTACCATATTCAGAGGCTAAACACAACCATAAATAGATCTCAAAGTGTGTGATGATAATATCTGTAGTGCTATAAGTCTCGCATAACGGGAATTCCAAAGAATTTCAACAGTTTATCAAATAATATTGCGTGCTCGTTTTGCTACTTCTGACAACCTCAATAACTTGTTTAGGTCCCTTCGCTGTATAACACTACGAAACAAATCTCGACAAAGAAATTTGGTTCATAGTAATTAATGCAGAACTGAGTAAGCAATTAAAAAGGGTGACAAAAAAGCTTGCATTTTTGTCGTAATCTACTCTAACGAAAAGAGCAACAATCACATAACGTACGTGCAAGTAACTGTGAAATTGTAACAAAGCTAACCAGCAACGTATATTTACTAAAAGTTACAAAATCAACGAGACGCGATATTCTTGTAACAAAATGAATTAAAACAAGTGATCTCCTAAATGTAACATAGCAGCCACTACTTTACTCGTTGATCTCTAGAATGTGGCTTACTCTTATGTGTAACACTATTTGGTGTAATAACTATAATCTAAATATTACAGACAGCTGATCCACCAATTACGATTTTTTTGACCAGTAAGTTAGTAAATGCAATTTACATCAAGCCAATTCATTAGGTACAGTTGTATTAATCAGCAGCACAAGCCAACTCATTAGGTATAGCTGTATTAATGAGCAGCACGAGATCATCAGTGAAGGAAGATGTGACCTCTCTGGATTACCCGCTTCATCACGATATCTCCTGGAATAACACATAATAATCCATTTACACCGACCATCGAATCACTGACCAGCAGCTGTTTATCAAATAGCATTGGCCGGCTGCCAGAAACATTGATTTGCAGCGCCTAGTGCAACTTGCAATGGTTCTTGCGGTAGCGGCTGGCGCATGTGCTGGCCCGGTTCTTTTTTCATACATTGGATGAAGGGGACGGGAGAATGACGGTCCTGTTGATGGGTTGTGCTGATGGTGGAGAAAGTGGAATCTGAGGATTCCGGACATCTTTTTCGTGGGAAATAATAGGCGAGTTGGCTAGCTATACACAGAGAGCTTATCCGAATATTTTCTCTCAAGATTGGCGAGTTAACAGCGACTCATATCTCTTTTACTGTTGTTTTTTTTTATTGATAAGTGCATATGTTAAATAAACATGTAACAGCTGGATAGATACTAAAAATTTGGTCCGACCGTCACGAATTCCCTGCTACTGGGGTATCCTAACCATTACTAACCGAAATAAATGCTCATTAAAAGTTTGACTGTTACGTATTTTGGTTTAACGAGTTATTGTAATTGCTGGCACCTCAACATGTTTTCTTTAAAGTAGTCTCGATCGAATATTTATCAACCTCTAATTATACCTGGGATCTTTCTCATTGATAAAACTATTTCTAAATAACGTAATATGGAGGGTGATTTTCACTTGTAAGAACAAATGGAATTATATATAAAGAAATGTAGATGAAAAAAATGACTTTTAACGTATGTAAATTAATTGACGCTACCTTATGTGTCATTTTTATTTCAGAATTTCATTTTCGAGTTTGCTCGTTTTGTTGCGGTGACCGTTCGTGAAATAAAGTGTTTGATATTAATCGAACCGGTCGTGGTGGTTTAAAAGCTGTTGACCCCAAAGAGGTGAGATAAGGCACTTGGCTATTTGTTTATGAGAAGGGGGAGGATTTCGATTAGAGTGAATTAATCAACACTTAATAGTGCCTTTTGAATCTATTTGAGACTTCGAAAAGTACATCCAGTTGTAGTTTTTGCCTTGTTTCACGCAAGAGCAGTGGGATACTCATGTCAAATTATGCGTGAGAGATTAAAATTATGAAAGAGCAATACGTTAGACTTTTGTTGATCTATTTTCTAAAATTATAATTGATGTGTTCTTACAATTATATTTAGTAGATTTAATAAAAATGGTACACAAAGTTATGGACAAAACAAATTTTAGCACATTTCATACTTTCATTGAAAATTTGAAAGCATTTTGAAATTGAAAAATTAACATTTGGAAATAATTAAGATCTATGACATATATTTCAGATCTAATTCGCTGCGTCCATCATTATACATCATCATTTTTCTCTCACACCATTAACATGGCTGCTGAAGCTGAGAAGCTGAATTTGGACAATATTATCGCTAGGCTCCTAGAAGGTATAGCATTTGGTTTGTGGAATGATTTTAGTGATCAAAAATCTGTTAAAGATTTTATATGTCTGTTTGCTGTATGTCATATTTTCATTATTTTGGTTTGTATATTTGGGTGACAGATGCAATAGTTTGATAGATTTCTTTCCTAGCTGTCTTCTTTCTCTCTGTATCTTTTCTCTGTAACTTCTGGAAAATTCACGGATGACCACAATGCGTCGGGAGTTGGGGATCTTTTCAAAGACTTGTTGATCTATAATGTTTGCCTTGATACGCGTTCAGTATCAATGAAAGCGTGAATATCATTTTCATCTTTTATCAAAATTTGGATAGTTGAATATTTTTTATGCAGAATTTGAAAAGTTGAATATATTTGCAGTGCGTGGTTCAAAGCCGGGCAAAAATGTTCAGCTGACAGAAAATGAGATTAAAGGTCTGTGTATCAAATCACGTGAAATATTCCTCAGTCAGCCAATCTTATTAGAACTCGAGGCGCCTCTAAAAATTTGCGGTATGTCCTGAAAATTGTTCAGTTTTATTATAGATTTGTTCTTTATCTTATGTCAAGTATTGATGTCAATATTTTAAGTATTTATTGTGTATTTAGGTGATGTACACGGACAATATTATGATTTACTGCGACTTTTTGAATATGGTGGATTTCCACCGGAATCAAATTATCTTTTTCTTGGGGACTATGTAGATAGAGGTATCATTTCTACTTTGTTTCCTATTAAATTTTTTATTGCTGTTATTGATGAACTGGTCATGAATTTTTTTGGGAAAAATTTCTATTCAACCATAATTAGAAGGTCAGATTGCAAGAACATATGTATAATTGGTGAATTATTTATGACTGAATAGAACTGCATACTGATATAAATATATATCAGCATCACCTATCTAACTCATCCAGTACTTCACTTAAAATATGACGCCGATCATCTTATCACTGTTTAGTTCATCTGATTTTAAGTTACTTCTAATCGGAATACTTAACTTATTTGACTATCACACTATAGTTTGTTTTGATTTGACTGTTAATCTTATATTGTTTGAAAAAGATTTCCGTTCACTCAATTTTTAGGTAAGCAATCGCTTGAGACAATCTGCTTGCTTTTGGCTTATAAGATAAAATATCCCGAAAACTTTTTCTTATTGCGAGGGAACCATGAATGCGCCTCCATTAACAGGATATATGGCTTTTATGATGAGTGTAAGTTAATTCTACTTTGTTAATAAATTTAAATAATGTAATATGGTTGTTTCTTCGTTTTCCGTTGCTGTGGTTTAATTGTCATATTCATCAACGAAATAATTACTTTATATCTTCTATTTATTTTTCTTTTTTGCTGCCTAATAATGGCGATAACTTTTTCAGGTAAGCGACGTTACAATATCAAACTGTGGAAAACTTTCACTGACTGCTTCAATTGCTTACCAGTGGCAGCAATAATAGATGAAAAGATTTTCTGCTGCCATGGAGGTCTTTCACCTGATCTGCAGTCCATGGAACAGATTCGACGTATTATGCGTCCAACGGATGTGCCAGACCAAGGTCTACTTTGCGATCTTTTATGGTCTGATCCAGATAAAGATGTTGCTGGTAAGTTTTGCATTTTTGTTTCCATTTCACTTTTTCAAAAAAATCATGTTTTAGCAAAGAAAAGAGTGGTGATGAATTTTTGCAGGCTGGGGTGAGAATGATCGAGGTGTTTCGTTTACTTTTGGTCCCGAAGTTGTGGCGAAGTTCCTGCATAAGCATGATTTGGATCTCATTTGTCGCGCTCATCAGGTTGTAGAGGATGGTTATGAATTTTTTGCCAAGAGACAATTGGTAACGTTATTCTCCGCACCAAATTACTGTGGAGAATTCGATAATGCCGGGTCGATGATGACAGTAGATGAGACGCTTATGTGTTCCTTTCAGGTTAGTTTCAGTTCATTATATTAAGCTTTCTTTTGCATAGTACCGGAGTCTCTAACTCCATGAAGCGTTCAATAACTGGACAGTAAAATTGTTTAATCAATGAGAAAATCATGTTGACAGAGGTTAACGCGACTGTGTTGGAGTGATGGTGTATGGATTTCTTCCTCTGTCCAGCTCAGATTGTTGATGATGGACTTTCTGGCTTAGTTACTAATACCTGACAATGTATTTTTAATTTCCCCGGAGTGTGTATGTTTAAGAGTACTTCATAATCGCTATAAACTGTCAACTGCTGATTCTGTGGGAATTTCTGGTGCGTTTAGTAATGCTGTTAAGAATGTAATGCTTACAAAAATGGGATTCTTTCCAGATTTTGAAACCAGCGGATAAGAAGAAATTTCCATATAGTGGCGTTGGATCTGGCCGTCCAGTAACACCACCGAGGACCCCCGCCCCAAATGCTAAGAAAGGAAAGAAATAGTTTGATCTACTGGCTGCAGGCGTTGTTTTTTTACTTCAATGTCTGCTGTGGGGTCACGAAAAAACTAAAGGGCTTTCTGTGAAGCACATTAAGGATTTATTGGATGTATTTATATCATCGGCCTCCGTAAAGCGATTTTTGATAAACTCAATTTAAATTTGACGTTTATTTTGCTCAGTTTTATTGAACTTGAAGAAGTTTCGGCGTCAAATTCATACTCTTCTTTTATATGTTAAAGCTGATTTATTTTTAATCCAAGAATCGTTCATACAAATTTTGATTAAAAAATGTCTCTCGGCATGTAATTGTCTCTTGCACATTGGCTAAACAGTTTGTTATTTAATTTGAAAGTTTATTAGTGACAAATTTATTGAAAACACAGAAAGCACAGAGATTCTTAATACTGTACTTGTCATGCTTCATTTGAAGAAACTTGCTATTAGTTTGATACAAGTGAGTATTCCAAAAGCACTGAGTCCCATTGTAATACATATCTTTTTTCACTACAACGTGAAATGTTTGGGGCTTCACCTCCTCGGTCAGTTCTTTTTTTTCAAAAAATAGAGATATGAATGTCTTTGTTTTCTTCAATACCTGTTCCGCGTGAGTTTCTTTTCTTAAGATAATATACATGTCAATTTTTTTGTATTTTGATCTGACACGTATTTCCATAAAATTTTATGACGTTTATATATATTTGTAAATTTCGCGCACAGATACAACTTTTCACACATTTCCTTTTTTCATCAAAAAAATCATTTCTGGAACTTCTAGTAGAAGGAAATGAATGTATATGCGGTTGGTATTGTTTCAGTAATATATGGTTATCTTTTCAACTGGTAGTTCTTTTCTTTTTCAGGTATTCTTTTGCAAGAACTCTTTTAGATCTAGGCGTTTTGTTGTGATGTGATATACATTGTTTCTTTTTTGTAACACACTTTTCACGTGGCACATATATTGACACATAAAACCTATTTTTTGTTGCCATTATTATTAAATATATGCAGTATATATAATATATAGAGAGGAGATGTTCGAGTATTGTATTATAGTGAGCGATATCATTTCGGAGTTCAAAATCTCCGCTTACATTTTAGTGCTTAATGGAAGAGGAGGCTTTTAATTTCACTTAATACAGCATTTAAACAAAGAAGTGATCGCTTAAAAATCAAGCTCCTTTATTATTTCACTTAGTGATAAAAATACATTATTGATTTCTCTGATCTCCAATTTTTTTAGTAGTACTGTCCCTCATCTGAACTAAGCAATGGCTCAACTATCTTGAGAGGTTTGATTATGCGGTTTAATAGATCCTACCGACAGATTTTCAAGTGGGAAATTAATTTGGTCGTCAGTTCGCGCTATCATAAATATGGACCTCTCTGCAATTAAATATGACGAATAATATATATTAATCGCTGCATTGCACTCACACTATTCTGATACTTTAGTGCTGGAAGTATTGGTGTCAGATAATTATAGGGGTCGACATTGAGAGCTAACATTTCATTGAAGATTTTTCCATTACGGTACTTCCAACGAGTTGATATCAAATATGGTTTTTTTTGGAGTCTGAACTCGAACATCGGCAAATTTGGATTTCGTCAACTTTAAATTGGCGTTATTAATAATCACGATTTTCCCTGTTAGTGAGTGAAGGTCGTGGGATATTTATGTTAATTTTTTTTCCATTAGATTTTCCAGAAGATGCGGGGAATGGAAAAATTTTATTTGAAATATTAAAAAGCTTTTGTCTAGCACGATAAATTCGTATTATGTGTCGTTCTCTAAGACGTTTTAACGGTGATACAGCAGTATTAGTGATACACTGACTGTTTATTTGAAATGGTCCATCCGACACGTGATACAGCAGTAGTGACTGTTTATTTGAAATGGCCCATCCGACATACGTTATCAGAAGTTAGTCATTGATTCATCAATTAAACTTTTTCGCTCATAGTTATCCTTATTGCACACAGTTTATGTTCGCTTATAAGCATAAGTCTTCTGATATGTTTTCGATTTCTTGTAAACGATTTTCTGCAATAAGTACAAATGATTGTAGTGCATGTTATTAGTGACTGCCTAATTCAAATTTATAGCATGCATTTTCCTTCAGATTGACTAAGCGGTATCTATTAATGGTATTACATGAAAATAGTAACAAATATCTTCATTAGAGATGTTGCAAACAAGTAGAAATGTGCCAGCCCTATTACAATCTCCCAAAAAATAAGGATGTTTTATAATCATTGTAATCTCCAATTCAGATTCCTCAAAAAAAGTCACAGATTCCTCAAAAAAAGAAACACATGCTCACGCAAAAAGAAATTCATCAAATTTTAAAGTAATGGTTAGACCTTCTTAGTATCGTCTGTTTTTTTAGGTGGTGGAGGTGAAGGAGGAGGAGGAGGAGGAGGAGGAGGGGGTGGTGGTGGTGGTGGTGCCTGTTCCTGTTTCTTGCCACCTCCAAAATAATCGTCATCAATATCAATATCAAGCTCCGCTGGTCGTGTACCAAGACTACCCGTTGCTTCAACAGGCACGAATGCACTTTTGTCAGCCATTTTTACCTGTAGTTTTTTTGAATTAAAAAAAGTTTAAAATTTAATCCCACATTAAAAATAAATCGAAACATACGCCTAATTTCATTTCCAAATTAATCAACGTTTATGTTTACTATCCTCACTTTTCAAATGCGTAAGAATTGGGACTGCTCCAACACATCCAAATACAAACGTACGTGATGACAAACGTTAATAACCTTCAATGCCTAATTATTCAAATGGACTTTTGTAAGGAATACGAATGCTGTACAGAGAGAGAGAGAGAGAGCTAAACCTCTCTTTGATAAAGAGACTGATTAAACTGCAATAGTCTATTTTCCATCTGCACACCTTTTATAATCTCTATAAATTTTTTTATGCATTTCTTAATGCAAGTATGCAAATTTTATCCCGAAAAAAATGCCCAAAACAACTTTAATTTCAAAATATTCCAAAATTCAAATTCGAGAAAAGAAAAAATTAAATGAATTGAATGAATGAGCTCCCCCCCACATGAATTTTGAATAATGGAGAGTAGAACATACACCATATATGAATTCCTTTTAAAGCAAATGTTACTTTGATTTTAAGGAATCGTCTACAGCATTTCGCATAAGTTTCGTTATTTACAATTAGTGATCGTTTCTATCTTGCATGTTTTTGAAATGTGTGAGATAAGAAAGTAAACCGCAGGATTCAAATATTTCAAGTTTGTTACACTTTTACAATAATAAATGAATTTGTGAGCTTTAGGTATGTGATAAGACAGAAAGGAATAAAATTCCCATTCAAAATTATATGAAAAATGTGTATTGCTGAAGGCTTTCAATTAGTTCAAAATTTTCTAGAGACTTTTCAAGACACACCTATTCATTGTCCAATTATGACTTGATAAAAAGAATGATCGTTTCGGATTATTCAATCTTGCACTTCTGTCACGAATGTATTAGCTTTGCATGGATCAGTATGTGCTTCGTCTCCATACTTCGGATATTAAATTTTGCATGGCGGAACGATCAGAAGATCCCATCAATTGAATCAAATGGCACACATATACTGTGAGGAAATTTGTAGTCTTAACTACTTTCTATTGCAAAATAACAACAATTAAGGAAGTCCTTTGAGATAATCATGATTCGATAAGGTTTAAATGAAGTTTCTCACATATCCGCACATGTATCACTGCATCGTTTATGTTCCATATAAGATAGTGAATAGCATTGCACCCTTAAATTTGCGAGAGAGTTTCAAAACGAGAAAAATTAAAAGTTATATCACTGCATACAGATAATCCATCTAACGTTCCACGATAAACACTACTTATAATATAGTATTTAACTTGCAATTCCGCTATACATAACTCCACTGAAGAGCTATACTTCATTTGCAATAATTCAAATAAGATATAAAAGCTAGAGATTACAACAGAGAGATGCAGTGATAAACAATAAACTAGAATGATCAAAACAAGGGTTGGTTGCATTCAAGTCAAATCTTCATCCGTCTTCAAGATATACTTTAATAAGCAATCAGACGAAATTCCCATTTACAAGAAGATGATTTTGTAAAATTAATATCACAAATATTGTAAAAATATAGGATTTTCGAGCAAAATGCACTTGGAATGATTTTGGTAACAAAGAATCAACAAATATAAATGTTTCACGTGACAAAGCATAAATTCTAAGCGCTCAATATGGAAACGTACTGACACCAGATACCACTTGACGGTATTATAAATGCATTTAAACAAGCTTAAATAAATCACTTCTTGTTCATAACATCCAGAAACCTTCAGGAAAGGTATGTAAACAGCTGAAATCCCTCTTAAAAACTTTCATTTCGAAAAAAAATCTCAGAATGAATTTTTCGAATTCTTTATAACGTTCTAAATTCGGGAGCAATATCTATCTTAAAGATTTCAATATATCTCGATTTGTCAGACTTTGTTCCAAATTTAAAACCTAAAAGCCAAAAACACATACCTTCTACATCAGCAATATTGCTCATAAAGATATACTGAAGACCATATTTTAACGTTGCAATGAATCTTATTTATAATTTTTCATATTTACAACTGCATTTTGGGCTTCTTTCAATTTCCACAGAATATTCTGAAAGTTTCTCATATACAGCATATCGATAGTGTACTTCCTTCAAATTTAATGAAACTGGCAAATAACAAGAACAAGAAAATTTTTTGGCCGACTGACTTGTAAATCATCCGAACTGCAACAAAATGAGATCTTCTCTAGAACTGATGAACCCGTTGGGATTGTATCCAAATGGATTTCAGCCACAGACATTTCCTTTGCATTCTTGTCTGTCTGCAATAAAAATGAATCGTGCATAAACATTTCGAATCACCCCATATAGAGTTGCTGTCGAGTCAGCGTTTATTTACAAGCAAGCAAAGAGTATGGAAATTGCGGTCAGATTATATCAGATTTAAAATAATCTGTATTAAACAACCTCACATATATTTGTGTAATATTTTTCAGTGCTACTTCGCACAAAGAAATTAAATAGGAAATTTTAAAATCACTTCGGAGAATTGCCACTATTTTATTACAATGAGAAACTTGAACTGAAAAAGAAATTAATAAATACCTCCAAAGTTTTAGAAAGCTTCCAGGAGATATCAACAACTCGTGGTGGCTCCCAACCAATTGTTGCCATACATTTTCGAATTGATTGTTCATTTTCCTGGAAACCAATATTACAGTTGTTACCGACACTATAAAGTCATACTGCACTATAGTAATGCCTTATTCATAGGCTTATTCATACCCTGAAGACACTGACAATAGCATGCGATAGCTCGTTTTTCGGTAGTAATTCCTCAAGTGTTGCCACAGATAGGCCACGTCTGGCCGCCTCTACAAGCACTCCAGCAACTGCATTCCAGTAAACTTGACTGCAAATTGATTCCTCCACTGAAATATATTTTGCCCAAAGAGAACAAAAACAAATTTAAAATTTAACAAACACAAAAAAGCTAACGTTTTGAAGGACCGTCGTCGATCAATTTCTGACACAACTTTTCGCAAATATTTTTAAAATCATCAGGATTAGCTGTTGTGCCATATTTTTCAACAGACTGAATTAGATGAACAGGGAAAGTGGCCATTTCGAAAACTGAAAATGACCGAACGACAAATGTAAAACCTGAAGGAATGAAATATGCGAAAAACGTTTCATCCATAAAAATCCGACATGAATATTTCATATATTGTAAAGCATATTGGGTAAATGAAGAACTACCAAAAACATCGAATAAAATAAGGAAATGGCTTCTAAAAATAACTTTTATTTGTTAGCAGTACAAGTCTCTTTCGAGAACCGAAATACATGGCTGTTATCCGAACCACATATATAACTTGTTAAACCTAGGAGATACTTTATCGATGACAATTTATATGTGGCGAAATCAAAAGAAGAAAATAGAGAAAAACAATTTGCATGTCCTCCTAAAATAGTTATTTGATGATAACAATATTTTCAAAATTTTAATAATAAAGATGTAGAAAACGAAAAACACAAGTATCATAGGAACAAACACAAATGAACAAAGTAAACAATAAAAGCCTATTTCTGAGCCTAAGACTTTTTGGAATCTTTGGGATATGTACAATGTCAGCAATAAAACAACAGGAATAAAAAATCTCCTCTTTGAATTATTTCATATATAATTAAGTCATTTATACATCGAAACAAAACAACGGAATTAACATTTAAAGTGTTCTTTTTTTCTCCCACTTCCTTAAAACTTCCGGCGTAAACATATTATTGAAAGCAAAGGAACAGAAATTGAATTAAACAGAAGGACAATTAATAATCCTGGAGTAAAATTCTAAAAACAAAATGAAACGTAATAAACAATACAACAACTGCATGAAATATTCAGAAAATAACCAATGGAGAAGAGATTTGATCCTTAAAAACTGCAACAACCAGCTTTTTAGTAAATCCCACTAACCAATGGGGAAATATTACTGACATAAGTAGAAAAATAATTACTTCTCTCTTTTTCTTTTTTTACAAAATATCATTTTTGAGTGTTCCAACACCGGGTCAGGCAAACAAAAGTAATGAGAAAATTTTTCAAAATTAAGAATAAAATTGAATACGCTAGAACTCTTCTAACATGTAACAATGAATACCTCGCGGAAAGAATAGTACAGGAATAAATACACCGTATCCCAACAAATACTACCTAAACAAAATTATTGTCAACTTTTGTCATTTTTTTTCGCTTCTTTTGCTTCCTGAATAATTTCAGGTCCGGTTCGTTTTTGAAGTTCTTCATCTATTCGCTCTTTTGCACGATATATCTAAAAAAAATTATATACAATGATCGATTCTTAATTCTTACACCAATTCCATCAAGTGTTGGTGAAGATTAATGATCATAGTCAACATGATTTGTTATTTAGCACATTGCATAGACAAGATCATGTATCAGGTACGGAAAATAAGATCTGAATCATTTGTGGTTGATAAAACCATTAACTTTTGCTGTAACTGGTTGCGCCTTCAAATAAATTTAATTTCTAAAAAATAACTGGATGATTAACACAAAAAGTAGTTAATATGACATACTTTGGACTGCAGATACAACGAACCCCCCTTATTTTTGTCATTTATGTCAAATAAATGCCTGTAATTCTCTTCGACTTCTTTAGGCCTCAGCGGATCTTGCACATTCAGGATTTTCATCGCTTCCTGTAAACTTCCGTTGTACCCAAAATACAAACTTATACTTCTAAATGAGAGAATTTAAATTCAAGTACAACAGTCCAGTAAAGACAGAAATTCAACAAAATTTATTTAATCAAACAGCAGACCTGTAACGATATTCCAAGTCTCGCATTTGTTCGACTGGCCTCACGTGCCTCATTCTGATTCTCACCAGTTTGCTGAGCGCGGTTGGCAGCTGCTTGCTGACTTGCTGAAATGTAATCCCGATAGAACTACATTTCAGTATGAGAGGAAAATAGGGATTCTTAGCAAAAATTTACAAAGAAAAAAAATTAATCCTAAAACTTGGTTCCAGTCTAGCTTCAAACATATGGTCTCACTCTTATTCCCTTAAAATGTCTGGTCGGCCATATGAACAAGCACCACATAGTATTAACAATCCTTCTCCTTGCCCCGCTTTCTCTATCTTTTTTCCTCTCTTCTTTTCATATGCCAACTTCCAATCTGAGCGAGGACTAGAGAGAAGATCCAAACTTAAAATGTAGAATGCTGGTGGACAAAGCGCTCAAGTCAGATACCTTACACAAAAGAATTTATCTTATTTTCAATTAAATAGATTCCAGTTTCTAAACAGTAATAATCATTTACCAAATGCCTAAGCTATTGCAGCTAACACCAATCCATGCTTGGAAGATATATCAAGGCATCCTCAATGCAAATTGAAGTATTTTAGACTATTTCGTATTATGTAAGAACAGATGAAGACCATTTTACTAGCTATTTTATCTTATTTTTAAAAAGACAACCTCTGATTTCTTCCCGCACAGCCCGCGTGAATGCTTTGCTCAGAGCTTCACTAGTTGCGATCACAATTTTGATCGCATTTCTCCATACCATAACGTGTAGCCTAGGAAAAGAAATTTAAGTTCAATGAGAAATGCCTAAACTAAATTATATACATCTGTCGCGTCACATCTTAAGGCAAATCAACCATATTCTTAGTCACTGTGATAATTCTCGTCATTTTTACGTTTTTTCTACGTTATTTTATTATATTTCTATCGAAGACAATTTTTTTAATCCCACTTCCTGCTACGAGTACAATGTGTAATTTCCTGAAAAACCTTTCTGTTTTTAGCTACCCTTCACGTTGCTACTTCGTTCATTACTCCGGACCTCAATAAGCAACCAATGTTTACTACCATAAGCTCCTAGAGCTTTTACTGCTTAGCTTTCGCGGCCCGTTAAACTGCTATAGAGCATGTAGTTGCTATACACGCGATTCGTAAGTACATTTGTTCCATGTTGTTGGTAGTTTGATGTGTTTCGGGATCAAAGGTCGCCATGAACTATTTTAGGTATGGCTGATATTTTGCGCCGACTGAATAAGCCAAACTGGGGCCCACTCATGAAAGCTAGTGCCAGACGTTTACATATTTCGGCAGCGCAATTTTCTTCACCGTTCGTGAAAGCACAAAAAAAAATGGATCCTGAAATTGCTAAATTGCGAGAAGAGAGGAAAAGGTAATTAATGTCTTATTTTTAGGTTAGTATCAGCTTATCATCCTTCAGGCGTTATGTTAATACCCAATTTTAAGCTTTTCCTGTTTCTGCTAACATGCTCGTGCGGCATGGCGTGAAAGAAGACTATTATACGTATAATAATGTGATCATTTCATGTCATAAGATTAATGGAACAGAAATCTATTGGTTTACTTAACGAATTTCGTTTAGTTTGTTTCTGTTTATTCGATACATTATAAAAATTCAGTCATTTCTTTACCTCACTGATCTATCATGAGATGACTTGTCTGAAAGAATATCATATCATATCGCTATTAACCGTGTCCATGCTATTATTTTTATACTACCAAATAATACAAATTTTTTTATTTATTCAGACGAAAACTCAAGAAAGAAATCAAACTTCTAGAAAGCTTCGGCAAGAAACCGAAACCTGTGGAGGAATACATTTTTGATAAAAAGTATGAGGCAAATATTAACGAACGAATACGCCCTGCTATTAGAGTTAAATTTGTTTCTTATTTTTGTTCCTTTGAGTTTATTTATTTATCATGAAGCTGTTCAAATGAATTAAGAGGAGGTTGGGATGGGTTGATAATACTTTATTAGTCTTTTTTCTTTACCTTTTTCGCTTTTTTACTTTTTTAAAGCTCTTCTAAGATCTTCTCGAGCAATACACTGTTACAGAAAATATTTTATTTTCAGTTAAATGAAGATGAGGAGGATGAACGTATGGTTCTGGAAATGGAATACAAACATTATCTTAATAAATTAGCAGTTATGGATACACGTTGGATTACGGAAAGTATTCGGAAACAAGAAAATGCTTTGCAGAAACTCAAGGTTTAATTTATTTTATATGCTATTCTTGATGTACGCCGATTTACTTTCGAGAAGCTCTAGAAACATGTGGAAATAATTTCTATTATTCAAGGTCTTCTGTCTGATCTTCCGTCTGTTTTTCTCATTGGTTCTTACACTTTATCCTGAATTCCAGAAAATCTTTTCACAAACCAGTCTTTTTGCTATGAAAATAATCTACTTATTTTCCGGCAGCTTAGAGTAAAAGTTGCATGTTGAGAAACTGATTGCATTTAAAGTGGCAAATTCAAACACTTACTATTTTTAGTGCTCTTCATTAAACATTCTCAACTACGCATAGCCATTCTGCTACACATTCGATTTAGAAGATCAATGGTACTTGCGCTTTTAAAAAATTGATGGTTTCTGAAATATCAATGTAAAGTTTCAGATGCTATCGCCCGAATTGTACAAAGCTGCTCTTGAACCTGACGAATGTTTTTTGCAAAGCTTCATTTATCGAGGCCCAACATTGACCCCCCCGTTGGAATCATATGACCCACCTGATGGGCATTATATCGATGTCAGCAAAAAGTGGTTGTGTTAAGTTTCAGCAAAAAGTAATTGTTAAATTGTGTGTTAAGTTTAATATTTTCTCATTATGCAGCTTCAGTAATAGGCATTAGGCTATTAAATGTGATAGATATGCAAAACGAAAGCTTCGTTATAACTCATTTTTTCATATTCAAGGCATGCTTTTCAGTTAAATAATCTGTTGAATAGTAGATCACTTTGTTTTTTATGAACATTGCCGTAAATCTTATTTTACTTATACGAGTGACGAATTTACTTTCTTTGTTTATATTGCATAACTGCAGAATTACAACATTTCTGATTAGTTGCCAAGTGATGATTCTCCTATTCCTCATTCATCTTAATTTGCTGTCCCACAAAATGTCCTGCCATAGCAGCAAATTGATGATTAAAAAACTGAATATTCTGCTGTTTTTTTTTTAGTAAATGTTTGAACCTTGGAAAAGCAACTTCAAACACTATTTAATATTGTGGTTACTATTATCACGAAAAAATTGCTTTTCTCGATACTGTTTATCTTAGCCCATTCGACAAATTAGTTATGAAAATTTGTGATATGTATGCTATAATTAAAAATTTATTAAACATTCGTTTGACAGAGATGTGTAACACAATATAAATTACATTTAGTATTCCCGAAGTCATTTTTAGATGTTTCCAAGCTGATGGATGGTCGCTGCAAACAAATTAGCGATGTCTACATTATCAATTCATCACAAATTACACTTAGTAAAGACAAAGTTGGGACCGGAAACTTTGCTGATGTATATAAAGGTGTTGCTTTATTTTCCTTGCCTTTTGGCTTTTGATTGATGAGTGTTATTAGAATTTTCTTTCATGATTGCAGTCTTCATCCTCTGCTAGATTTGGTCCGATGTGACCTGCTTTTGGTCGATTTAGTTTCATAAAACCTCGAATTTTATGTAACCAATCATAGAGAGGGAGTAGATTCAAAATGATTTATTAGGGACATACCACAAAGGCAAGGAGGAAATATTGGTGGCTGTGAAAATTGTTCGAATTGGTGGCGGCAATGTGGTATTTTTGTTATTAAAATTCTTCTCTTACCTTTCAAGATTCAAGATCCGTAACAGAAATAAGGATTCCATTTTATTTTTTAATTTTGATAAAGCCCTGGTTTGTCAATAACTTGAGATTTCGAGCAAGTTATCATCACCATTTTTTACAGATCAAAAATTTAATTGAATGTTTCTTAACTAATGAAAATTTACGTAAGCGCGCAGATATATGCCAGCTAGCATTAAATTTGTCTTCTTTGCATTTAGGAAATTGTAGAACTGAATTACTAAAAATGTTTATGGTTTGAAATCAGCAAACTATACAGGATACCGAATTATGTTGCTTATCAGAAATGAAAAACGAAGCAATAATCATGTCGTTGCATCATCATCGATGTATCATTGAATTCTTCGGCATTTCATCAGATAAGGTTTTCATCGGAGCCTTTGGAAGTTATTCCAAGATTCTACGAAAAATTCACTGAATTATTTAGGAAAACTATGAATGTGTATTAGTTAAGTAAGGAGAGTATTAAGTGCTTCTTTAGTGAAAGAGTTTCAATTGAAATTCTCTATTTGAAAAGCTTGCACTAAAATTAGCGTTATTTCTCTTCATTTCTTTTTTTCAGATTCCAATGATTTTGATGGAGTATTGTGCAGGTGGCTCACTAGATTTACATCTTCAAAAATTCAAAGACCGAATTTTAACTGCAGGCACAATTTTTTAATACATTGAAGTGGAAAGTGTTTATGACAAGATAAAATAAATCTCTAAAAATTATTATTCTTCAAATAATTTTGCTTCTTAGCTATATTCTTCTCTATCATATGATAAAGATTAATGAGATTCTAAGCTTGCTTATTCTTTTTTCTGTTCTTGTTATTTTGCATTCTCAAGGGATTTTATGTTTTCCTTCTTTATCCTCAGTAACTGATAATCAGTTTTAAAAGGATTATCATTAAGAATATTAAATTCGTGATATCTTCATGATATATCGATTCATTGATAACAAGCTTTTCAGAAAGAGTTACATACATGTATCAAATCTCAGATGGTATGCGTTATTTGGAAAGGAAGAGATGTGTTCATCGAGATTTAGCAACACGAAATGTACTTATCTCTAATACTGGATGCTTGAAAATCAGCGACTTCGGTTTAAGCTTTAGTCCCGCTATTCCAGAGATATTGACTAATGCACATGTGAGAAGTTAATTGCTGTTAAATTTCTACAGTTCAAAATCATTTGCAGAGGTATACGAGAGATATTGACTAATGCATATGTGAGAAATTAATTGCTGTTAAATTTTCGAAATCATCTAGTTTACTCGTTTCATTCCATCTGATTTTCATATCGGATTTTTGAATAATCTACAAGTCCACATTTATAAAGAGGAATGATGCGAAGTAGGAATGCTTCTTCTTTATGACTTTTTATATTTTCAGATTGTTTCAGATATGTTTTGATGATAACTTTGTAGATTCCAATACGTTGGATGGCTCCAGAAACACTAACTCGTACACCGATTTATTCATCAAAATCGGATATTTGGTCATTTGGTATTGTAATGTTTGAAGTAAGCGAATTAGCAAGTAGCATTAATGTCAAACCTTATAATAAAAAAAGAGAGAATTGTTTCTAACTCGCTGTACAATTTTTTCTTCAGATATTTAGTTGTGGCGGGAAACCATGGCCAGAAAAACCGGTAAAATGGATTGCAACGAAAATTCGGAAAGGTGTGACACCTGAAATGCCAAGACGAATGCCGCGTCTTATTAAAGAAATAGCTAATGCTTGCTTTCAATTCGAACCAGACAAAAGGCCTACCTTCAAACAGGTCCATCAATTGGTCCTGAAAACATTATAGACAATATTTACTGCAGTGTATAATAGTATTCGATAGAAGTTCTTGAAAAAAAGAAATAAGATATCGAATGTTAAGGTTAACAGAAAATCAGAGGTTACGGGATATCTATGTATAATTAGCAGGTCAGAGTTATGGTTGAAATCCGAATAGCAAATTTTGAACGGCGCTTTTATCTTAAATGAGAATCATTTGCTTTTGAAAGATTTCGATATTCTATTAAAGCTTCTCTCTTTAATTATAACTAATCAAGATTACAGGTGAACGGTTGGATTCTTTTGGTACAAGGAATACGTTTCCCACCATTACCGCCTTCCACATTATCAGTGGCGCAATTGAAAAATGTTAAAGTGAATATTTTCAAATGCTTTGTTATTAATTCAATTTATCTCACTTTTTTTTCTAACTAGACTAATTAATTAATTGTAATGATTTGATTTTAAATTGTTTCTTTCAATTCTCATCCTTGATTAACACAAGATTTTATTCTGGAAGAATTCGATAGAAAAATTCACTTTATTTCGAAAAATGACAACTAATTGCTTTGAAGCATGGAAGATCTTTGCTAGAAAGAAAGGAAATATGTATTCAATGATTATCGTTACTTTAATTACGATCTGCTATTATTATTTGCATAACAACTGTTTCTTATATTTTTAGTTCAAATATAAAATTCTTTACTACAGCCAGTAAAATTCATTGAAAAAGATCCGGAAGCAATTGTGATTGAATTAGACGATGTAAAAAGTGTTGGACAACAGCCTGATAATGATAACAGCGTAAGTAGTCTATACAATTAAATGAGTGCACTCTAAATATACTTCTAGTTCGATCGTTATATTTGTCATTTTGTCAGTTTATTACCTCTTTCATTTAAGGAGCCAAGACTGAAAAAATCACCCGAAGCACAACAGACTGTTTCTATGGTGAATAAAAGTACATTAAGAGAGGATCAAGATAAGTAGGCTATTTATCACATTAATATTTAAAATTGTGACATGCATATTTTTTTTCGAAGCAGAACTAGAATCTTATCCCAATGAGGAACAATAATTACAGATTCAGTGAAACCAAAGTTTAAGGTTAAAATTTTGAAAAATAAATGGATCTCAATATTTGGATATAGATAGAATAGAAAGAAGCCATCCTCGTATATGTTTTTTCTCTTATTTGTTTTCTTTTTCTCTATTCTAATTCTTGCAAATTACAGCGCGAGAGTATCAAGACAACAAGGTATTCTTTATTTCTTTATTTTTTTGGCGAATTGTTGCAGTTTAGCATTAATTATAAAAGTAAATTTACCTGTCGTCTTCATCTACCAGATTATTCCCAATTTTAACCCGAAACCAAAAATAAAAATGAATATAGCATCGCACCGTCAAATAATAAATTTAAAGGAAATTTATTTCCAGCAGAATTGGATAAGTTAGCAACCATGGAATCAGATCACAGTAATGAACGTTCTAGAGATGATAAAAGGGATTAGACGAAAGCGCTTAAAAGTAATCCGTCCTTACAATATATGAAAGAACTGGCGTAAAAATTGGAAGAACAAAATAATTGAATCCAAAGAACTTTAGCGGACAAATCCAAATAATTAAAAAAAAACGCTCTAACTTGAATTTTCAAGCCCTAGTCTTTCAAAAATTGAAGAAAAAGCAAAATTTAAGTGTAATTGCTTTGAGTGTAATAAACTTTCTCGATCCCAGCTCCAGACTTGTTTTGTTTTGTTTCAAGGTCCCGGTCAAAATCAATAATGCGCGTGTCTCATTTTAGATTCCAGAGAACTGTTTGTCCTTTGGATACATTCTCATTTATTGTCATCTTAAAAATTTGTTATTATAAACGATGCTTTGTGATATGCCGGTACATTTCTCCATGTTAAACATGAAATATTTAGCTGCTAATTCTTCCGAACTTTTTTCTTTCCTGTAAAATTTAATCTGAGTTGCAGAAAGAGAGTGTGAATATTTTGACATCATCAAAAGACAACAATGAATTTAAGAAAGCAATTCTTTGAACCACTCAAGGCTTAATGATCAGAATGGCGGAAGGGTTAGCTAACAAGGAATTCAGTAGGATGTTCCTGCACTGTAAACCATGAATCTCTTTTAGAATGCTTTGTTGAGGAAAATCATTACATCTAGAAATAAGGAGTCATTAGTGAACAAAAACATTGTTAATACCGACTGTTTGGAACACATGACTCTTTCACAACAATTTCTTTATTGCCAACAGATATATTTCCGCACTATGATCACGACTGGCTTTAGGTTTCACAGTGTACACCCTCCTAAAATCTTGCTTAAGGAGTTCAATAAATTCTTCCCGCCTTGGTCCGTCCCATATTTTGCAGAGTAGTGTTCCATTTTTCATCAGAGGAATCACTGATTTTTTCACACTAAGTTCCAGTACTGTCGCACAGAGCGATAAAATTCGTTCATGGTCAATTCCTCCATCACCTACAACATTTTTAAAATAAACACGAAAGTGATCTGCATAAAAAAGAGATATGACTGCACAGAAAGAAAAATCTTTTTTATGCTTGGATCATTGATATCCATAAGGGTTCAATATTTTTTATCACTCCAATGATATCCTTTTTCAACTAATACTCAACAACGAAAAGAAAGATTAAAAAATCAAAAGCGAAGTCACTGGTACTACGTTCATTTAGGTATCGAGGAATGCTGCGCATTTCTTATTTCCGACGTCATAGTATTAAAACAAATTCTATTTAATTTACCGCCAGCTTTCATGTAATTAAGACTAAGTTTCTACGACTAGCATGCAGTAATACTTCCTAGTCTGCCTGAAGATAATGAAATATTTTTGCGTTATTTCGCCGCCATCCAGTTGCAACACTCATACTCGCAGTAAGCATGAATTTTGGAAAATAGAAAGCAACTACTTTTCGCTTCATGAAAGTAAAAATTGAATTGAAAAAATATATGAACATTTGTTCCTGCGTTAATGACAAAGGATCCATTACCGGTAGGATTTGGAGCCATATCACTGATAACAACATCAACAGATCTTCCATTCAAAAGTTGCCGTATGTTTTCATGCGTTTTTTGAGCAGTGATATCAGACAGATCCAAAAAATGAACACCCGAAATTGGCATTATTGGCTGAAAGGAATATTATCGTGTAAATTATCTCACGCGCGAGTTCACATCCGAATGTTTGCAACGTTGATGCAAAAAACGGAGTACCTGTAAATCGATGCCCAGAACAAAGGCATCACCATATAGGTTTGGCTGTACAATATCAGCAGCTACTTGGCACCATGATCCAGGAGCCGCTCCAACATCAACAACTACCATACCTATACAGCGCAATAAACCAAAAAATTATCAAAACAAAAAGCTTAGATGAAATCAGTGGAGGGGATATTTTAATTACACATTGCTTTGAATTATTGCCTTTCCCTCCCTCCACCCACCTTCTCTCATCTCCTCTACTCCATACTTCTTTTCAATTTGCCAATTATCATAAGACCACCTAAAATTAAACTTGCCGGGCTTAATAATTTTATATTTCTCGTTGATTTCCAACAACTTATATGCACTCCGAGCTCGATACGAATGCTCACGGGCCTTTCTAGAGAATTCATCAGACCACTGCTTCTTTAGATATTTCAAAGTGATTATCGATTTCTTTCCTTTGGAGGAATAACGCACGGGAAGCCATAATGTGATTAGTCCTGCCCTAAGCTTGATATTGATATTGAAAAACATTGTGGTCTCCCTCAACGACATATCACTGTCTGAATCAAAAGACATAATTAAACTTATAAATATCTACATTACCTAGAAGGTCAATTCTGCATTGTTATCACTGTATTCAATCAACCAGTGAAATGTACCTGTAGCTCTGTAAAAAGAAACTTTAAAATAGACTAATGGTTCGAGTCAAGAGAAAAGAAACCTTTTTGCAAAGCAAAATTCGCCTGTTTCCAGAAAGAAAGACTGAGTGCTTGCAGAGCACCTTTTTTTAATAGTACAAATATTAAATAATATTACTTCTCGAACAAATATTCGATAGAACATCGACAGCATTAAAGAATACCTATATAAGAGAAGGACAGGAGTGATAGCTTAACAATTAAATCTTTTTTTATGTTTGGAAAAGGATATTAATCTCCGAAACATCTTAACTAGTTGAAAATGTTAATGCGTTATCATATATGAAATACCAAAGAAAGCCCAGGTAAACCTTATAAATATAAGCTTTGGGTTCTATCTCCATCTTAATCAAAACTGCTAATGCAACAAGTTCTTGTAAACAATTTTATTTTGTAAACACATAAATACAATATACTACAACTTCTTGAAGCGAAAAACTAGTATGAAAAATCAGGTTTATATGGAAACTTCAAGACTATTCAACTAGCTTAGATTTTAAGGACTCTGAACAAGCTGGGAAATGCAAGCCGTGTATAAACAGAAAGATATATATTATGTACGGATAAAACATTTCTAGAAATATTTCGGTGTTAAGCACTGATTGACAGCCCTCAGCAGATCTGGGTTTTCAAGTGCAGCTGCCACTCGTTCCTTGTCCGCTAACTGCTTATTTATTGCATCTGCGGATACATGAGTATCGGGCGTTATCCTCACTATTATCTGTAATAATTAGACATAAATTCTGCACCATCAAACGGCAGGTATGATTTTGCGAAGATTTACATAGAAGAGACTGTCTGGAGATTTTTCAGCTTTCGTGTTCTACAACAAGTTCAAATTCAATAGTATTCACTGACAGTTGTTTGTGTAACGTAGGTAATTTTTCTTAAAAAAATATATGAATAAATATTAATGGTGGAAGTAGAAAAATCAAAAATTATTTTACCTTTACGCTAGGATGCACGGATCGTTGCAATTTTGTACGCAATGTTAGACCAATCAATGTTGCCATTGAACAGTGTGGTATTGTAGGAACGAATCCGACCTGACAAAATAGCTATCAGTTGATACATTACTAAAAGAATACAAATTTGAACATCTTGGTACTTGACTAGAACTATTGCTAATCTATGCTTACATCAACAATCGTTTCGTCATCATTTTTTTCAACCATAATGAGTTCTTCCTGGACAACATTCAATTGCTCAAGCGTAAGAGGATGTTCTGGATCATTGATATCCCTGAAGCGACATGATTTATTACGACAGGGAAAAGCCATATGGTAATCTCAGCAATATAAATTATATACAAATACCAACTTATGATACTTAAACAAAGTAGACTTTAAATGCATCCAGTTATCAAGCTTCTCCGATATGCAAGATTTCTAATAACAGTGGACTCAATACGGAACAGTTCTAGTTTTGAATTTGGAAATTCTAGGTGTCAATTTGACTAATATTTTTAGAAAAAAATCTTGACAAAATTTGGAATTGCAATAACAAACTTCGTGGAAGTAGAAACGAAAATAAGGTTATAATGACAAATATGTAACCTTATATAATCGAAAATTTCCTGAGTATCGATTGGATCAATAATGTTTGGATTTAAGTCTGAATCAGACACCTTTTTACTACGAGATTTCGTAACATAGATTGTCGGTGTTGCATTTTCTAACTTATTGGGTACCATCGCAATTCGTTTCATCTGTCGATTAGCATATTCGGATAACCATATGCATTCTGAAATATCAATGTACCAATTTCTTTCACAGCACAAATCCAAACAGCTGTTTTTACAAAACAAATTAATTCATTAGTTTAATACCGAATTATTAAACGAAAGTGTGAAATACTTAGTAAATTGATACATTGAATCCATTCACTTATCTATTTATTACATATTTTACACTTATTCACATTAAAATCAACGATAAGCTTCTCAGAAGTCAAAAATGGCCATCTACGACATTCTTGCCATGACGAGTGAAGTAAAATATACTAGCAGCTGAAAATGTTGATTTGAAAACGAACGGCCAATGGAAAAGATAATGAAGTGCAGAAGTAAATATATTCTTACTTGATGATTAAAAGTTCAATAATTGCTTAAAATTCACTTAGTTCATCCGGTTTCTATTTAATTCGAGTTGTTTTTCATTGTGAACTATCTCAACACTCTCTAAAGCGAAGAAAAATAATACGTTGAAATTTAAAAAATTAAGACCCGAAGGAAATATCTAAGCAGGAATACTTCAGCGTAAAACTCCGCAAAAATACTCGCAGCCGTGACCTCCTGTCCCAATCAATCGGACCGATGTGAAAACGCAGGTCCCACTCGTTGATTTTTTTTTACCCTAAATAACATTCTCAGAGTGCGGGAGTGCGTGGCTCGGGGTCAGGGTTGGGATCCAAGTCGGTAGTTTTGAAGATTATTAACATGAGAAGAAATGTGATGCTGATAAAGATAAGGGGTTTAAGGTTTTGCGGTTGGAGAAAAGCAAAAAGGATAAGATAATTGCGATGACCTTCGCTCACGATAGTGGATTTGCATTAAGATTGAAATCAAAATTACATTTCACTAGACACGGACGATAGTAAGGCAAAAATGTAGAACCACGGTGCATTTTCTATCTCCTAGATTGAAATGAGCTATCGTTTCAATTACAGTAAGTTATTAATATTAGTTCATCGTTTGATGTGCTATAAATGTACTTACCTTGCTAGCCTTATCTATGTGATGATGAATTCGCACTACGATAGCTTTCCTGAAGTATGTATCACGCTTAGATATGCAATTTTTTAATTCTCATAGCTGTTTTCACACAATATTCTTTGGAAAATTAAGTGGCAGTGATGACAAAATTATACTTTAAAGAAGCAGTACATAGCAATGAGAAAATGTACATCAGTAGCAATATCTATCAATCGTTTAATCATTCCATTTGCTCAACTTTAGTGTTTCATAAAAGTTTAATGAGCAGTTCATTAAAACTAAATGCATATCTTTTCCTTCGCGCACTCAGAATTCATCTTCCATTTCCTCCTTCGTTATTTATTAAACGCATGCCTTTGTTCAACTGAAACTGAGTTTTATGATGTATTTCGAAAAACTGAAGCTCTAAATCACAAATGGACGTTGGAGCTAAGACTGCTTATCGTTCATTTTCTATGCCTCTTTTCTAATCTGTCCACGGAGCATGGAGACAACATATCTTAAATAAATTCAACTGACAAAATCCAAATATATGTACAAACTATAACAGAAATTCAAATTGAAAGACTATTTCAATAACAAAATATGAAAATATTGACGGAAAGAGTGGAGTTCGATTAATTATGCAAATTATTGGACAGTTGAAAGAGGCAGTGAATTGGATTCACGAGATATGATATCAAAATAACAATAATAGAAATGAAACAATATGGTAAATTAAGAAAATAAATATGTTTGAGAGAAAAAATTGAAGCATTTCATTCAGAGTAATAATTTCAGGCAAATCTACTAGAAAATCAACCCATTTATGGATGAGTTTTCATTTTAATGAAGAAAGCAGCTGATGGCAATAATCAGTTGTAGTTAAATCACATTTTTGTGCTAATGCGTTTAGAATTCTTGCTTGAAAGTTTTCCGAAAACTCCAGCCCGAAGTTTCCTATATGATTCTAGTGCAGTGCTTCTTTTATAAAGGCATATAATTAGAAGAGAAGTACATTCAAAGTTGAATATTCGAAAATGGTTACCACTAAACTTCGTGGTACTGCAAGAGGAAATATCAACCTGATTATTTCTTCTATGGAAAAATGAAAAACGTGTTTCTTGACAAATATTAGACAGACTAAAATCATAAAGAGGTAGGGAACATTAGAAACATATATAAATATCAAAAGATATATCAAGATATCCAGTGAAAATAAACTTCATATAAGAGAGATCAGTCATATCTCACCGTTTCGAACTGCTTTGTTAATCAGCAGTGTTTCATACACTTCAACTT